AATTCACAGGCTTCCTAAAAGCTTAGGATATTAAGGCATTACAAAAGAGATGCCAGTAGTGCTGGCACTCACAAATAAATGTGGGGTTATTAGACTAAGTTTTCAAAGCCTAGATGCTTACAAGGCACATTCTTCCAGCCTTTTAACACTTGTTCCAAAAAGTAACTCTCCAAAATAGCCACTGGGCCCTACTATCCTGCAGGCGGAAGCAGGGAGTACAAACCCATAATCTCCCCACTTCATCTGAAATGTAATTAATTAGAGGCCTCAAGCCTTTCACAGACAAAAGCCCGTTTATATGGAAATTCCCCCTCTAAGAAGAGACAGGTATAAACTTCCTGATTCAGCAGATAAATCAATGCAGAAAACAGCCTACAGACAGATCTCACGTCACCCTCAAATGCTTACTGGGGAGCAGGAGAACTTTAAGGCTCCTGAACTTTGGTTCATTTAACATTTTTCCTTAATGAGATGAAAAATATTTGCAACATTTAGACAGTGGATGAGCACTCCAAAATTACACCTACAGACTGTGGATTTGGCTTAATAGGATAGTTTCTCACCGTGTTTATTACTCCAAAATATGCAGTTAAACTGGGCTTTAAAACTACGTTTTAATATTTCTTCCATATTAATTTGGGAAAAGAAATAGTCCCTAAAAAGTACTTATAAGTGCCATTAGACAGTCATGATTTATAAGCTAACACTTTTCAGGAAAAGTAAGCGGAAGTTTATATCTGTAAAACAGACCTTGTTTAGTAACAGGAAGCATACATGGAGAAGGCAAGTATGGGGAGTTTCCAGCCTTTCTCTCAAAGAAGAGAGACAACCTCTGGACCACAGGAAATAACACAAGTTTTAGAAAATCCCAGTGGTATGAGTGAAAACACTTCAAATAGATCTGTAAGCCCTCAAAACGATGTTAAAGGACAACAGATGTTCTCCCTCCCCACTAGCTTGTTCGAAGACTCGTGCACTCCCTAGGAGAAGTGATCTATTTGCACTGATTAAAGTGGGTATTCAGATCCAGACTCATACAAACAGAGAAAATTAGAGGAATAGGTGTATAAGGAAGGACAGGCTCTGCCTGTCCTCTTCTTGCTGGAAAAGAAAAAACCTCTCTGAATATGTGAAGCTAATGGAAAAATACAGACCTTTGAATATACCTTTTCTTCAGATTTAATATCTTTATAATGCAAAACAGAGGTTAAAAAAAAAAACAACACAAAAGGCAAGTCTTAAATTTAGGCTGAAAACTACTTGGGGAATTAATTTTTTTCTTCTGCTATGTTTTTTGTGATATGTGGCTGACATACCAGAGCCTTGGCTGATACACTGCCAAAATAAAACATAATTACCATCATAACTCCTGCCATTATAAGTCAATTCTGAAATTAAATCAACAATTGAGATTCATCTTATGGTCAAGCATTTTTAAGCAGGAGTCTTTCCCCCTAACCACCTCCACTAGGCAGTATTCCTAATAAATAAAAATGATGACAACCATACAGGCCCAGATGTGGCCATGAGAAACTAGAATAACACATGGGTATCAAAATCCCAAAAGAAAAACCCCAGAGCCTTATTTTAAATCTGCAAGCAGCTCAAATGCTAGGCATTAGCCTAAGAATTGATAATTTTATTCACAGTCTCATTAGGTAAAAGACATCAATAAGGCTGGGAGCAAGATCAAAGCTCAGCCCAAGTCATTAGGCTAAAAGTAATTAGCTGTGATTAAGACTATGTTCCTTATTTCTTCCACAAGCGATACAGGCTTATCAGAAGTGCTGAATGTTCCACGATGGTCCTTAGCAAAGACTAAGCCAGGTGGCTGAGGACCTCTTCTAAGTTTAGGAGCTACGAATTTGAATCTTTAGCTAAGGCTGAGTGTAGAACAAGTTTCTTGCACCTTGGACAACTACTGCAAACCATGTGGAAAAATAAGCATGGAGATCCTACCCCCACCAACATCTGGAAGGACGGGAGCATTGCCTGCAGACTTGGGTACTCGGGTACTGAGCTCACGTGTCAGTCTTGGGGTGGAGAAGCTTTGCACAGCCTGAGCAAGTACCAAAATCTCCTTTAAATTGTCGCACAGCATCTTCAATGCCTTAACCTTTGCAAATCAGTTCTGCAGCCCACAGAGCCTCTCACAGCACTTTAAGCTTCCACCTAAGCAACAGAAGGGTTTTTCTTTCTTGCTGCTCTTCTGCTGTTCTTCCACATACATTTCTGCACCCGACAAGCCCTGTAATGGCAGCCTCTCTAGAACCTGCAGATGTTCCCACTGGCACAAGATCCACCTATTATTTACTCTCTTTTGCCACTGCCTTGATTGCAGCCTTTGGTTTATACTAGGGGGCCCTGAACACAGTTTACCAACAGACCAGTATGCAGCAGCTGCCTCACATCAAAGCCTTTTCGAATCAGCACCAACTGCATCCATCACAAACAGGAAAAACCTAACTGGGAGTTTCAATAGGTCAAGGTGAAACCCACACTTACTAATGGAAAGATATTACAGAGGGTTTTACCTGCTGAATTGGATCCAAATGAAACCAACTATTTAAAGTAAGGTCCAAACTATACAGGTTTTTTGTTAATATACTGAAGATGACCGGACATCTGAGGTATTGCACAAATTGTAGTCTCAAAGGCTGAACAATTCACAATTAGCTGAATATACCAGTAAAACTCTTATAGCAATATACTTCACTGACTCAAACAATTCTATACCCGATTTCAGCTTAATTTTCAGCAAAACCAAAACTTCTGAAAGCCAGGAAGTGCTCTGTATTAAGACACAGCCCATATGCTCCTCACCCAAGAAACAGCAGGAATTATCTGCAAACGCAGGGTCACCATACAAAGGGCCAAGTGGTGAAAGCGAAACTAAGTCTGACAGCGATGCAAGGGGCTCTTGGGGATCTTGCTGTTAACCTACACAGAAGGTAAAATGGTACTGACTGGCCTCTGTCCCCATTCCTGCCTGTTTGGTCCCGTGCCTCCCCAGCCCTCCTCTTTCTCTCTCTTCCTTCCTCTGTGGGATTTTCCAGTGTGTAACTGCAGCTCACGGTACTACAGACTTTAAAAATTCTGTGCCAGCAACCATAATCACAGCAATTTTGCAGCAAGTCTCCATTGCTCCTGAGCAAAGAGCACCTTACCCACATACCTCAGGAAAGCCAGGCCCTCCTGTTAGGATTACCATTTTAGAAAACAACTTACTAGTACACGAGGAAATATCACTGAGATTAAAGTAAAATACTAGAGCTGAAAAAAGCAAACAGCACTGCGTGTCAAGTCTATAATCCATAAACTACAGTTAAATACCACTTTCTCCTGCTAAACCTCCGACTGATCCAACCACCTCCCCATAAAACTTATATCAATGATTTTATGAATTACCATTTCAAATGTAGTATGCTGACTAGAATTCATTAATATGTATTTAACATATATACATGCAATATAAAAAATATGAATATGTGTTTGTATAACGTTAAGCAGCAATAACACTGTGTCAATGCCCTTCATTTACTTTGCAGCAGAAGGGCTGGGAAGCAGTTTTTCAGTTATGTGAATGAGGGAAGTAAAGCAAATACATTCTCATTTTAAATTTGATTTGACCATTGCTACCCTTAAATGCAGAAATATCCTACTGACTCTCTACAATTATGTATATTTATTTAAAATGACTGACAATTTTCAATCAATAATATAATAAATCTACTACATTGTGAAATCCTTCCACAAAACTGTTAACTAAATATGAATTTTCAGAGACTGGCACAGAAACTATGTTTAATCATTAGAACCAGTTTCTTGATAAAGGCATTCAAAATAGTTCTGCAGTTGAAAGATTCAACAGAGCAAAACCACAGTACTTAATTAAAAGGGGGAAAAAAGAGAAAAGGAGTAAAAATAAAAGGACATTTGAAAGCAAATTTCATCCTTCAACTAACCCAAGAAATAATGAGAAAAAAAACAAAAGGGAAAGCAAACAACCATCTATCTGTATACTGATTGTTCACCCAGTCTCAACATGAACTGGATGTCAAGAGACATTCAAAAACTCTTTAACACAATAAAAATAACAAATGCTAACAATTCAGACTATATCACTGTCTTTTGTTAAAAACCAGCCAGAAATCCCAGTTTTTCAACTGAAATTTATGGTTATACTATGCCAAAACCACCACAGGATTACTTACAGACAGGTATATCAAAATCACCTAAGCTTGAAATGCAACTCATCATTTGTGCCTAGATTTTCCATGTAAATTCTGAGTACATATTACTTAAATATTCTAATGTAAATATATACCAACCTTTATGCTGTATCACTTCAATAATAAAAAGCAACTATATCCAAAATCCTGAATAAATATTTGGACTACAGGGAAAACCTTGGTTCCTCAGAGGTCAACAACAGAGACTCCCTAGTATGGTTAAATTCACTATATGGTATCGTTAAGATGTACATTTAAGATACCCATACTTGATTGTGTAAATGAAAAAGCCTAAATGTCAACTCAAACATCTAATTGTAAATGGAAACTCATTCCCTGAGGGCATAATCTTTCACTTCCACACATCAACACAAAAATAAAGATCAAAGGCAATGAAAAAACAAACTAGAAGGCTGTGCAGTTTGAAGACCAATATTTCTTTACTTCAAAAATATATCTTTATATTCAAATTCCAAGTTGCTGCACTGTAGTAGGAATATGAAATCACAAATTTAATTTATCTGGATCATTTGCATTCCCTGGCAAACTGAGCTCAGGTAAAACATCTGGTTTTCAGTGAAGACCTTGGTTACCCGGTCTTCCGACTGGGTTCATTATAATGCAAAACAGTTTGGAAATAAACCTCAGGGTCATGTAATCCATTCTTCACTAAAACATGAAATGCCTCATGATCGATCTTTACCCAATAATGAATAAATTTGATCACCATCCATCACAAGAACTCTCCAGAGTATATGTGGAATTTTAAAAATTTTCTTATAAGACGAACACACAAAAAGTACAGCAGTTGCATAACTGAATTTTCTTCTTAAAATCTTAAAGTCAGTTTGACAGTTAACAAGTAAAAGCTGAACCAAAATTGAAAGAAATTAAGAGTATTGAAAATTTAAGTTTTTAAGCAGGATTAATCCTTTGGTATACCTCTCATCATTCTCCTTGAGCGGAGAAGCTGGTTTTCATTCTTGACCTTAAAATAGCACACGTGAAAAATGCTTGATGGTGTTACAATTCAGCACTTAAATACTGTCTATCATTGTTTGCACACTTCAATCCCTTTGGACATGGATAAGCAATGATTCGAAAACCAGTAAACATCACAATCATAATATAATCTCTGGTAAATTAACTCCTAAAGAAGTTCTTAGAACTAAGATATGGCCTCCACATTATTAGGTAGTAGGACTCTTCTGCACTGGTTGCACCAAAGATGGCTGTTTTTGTAAGTTTCTGTGGTAAATACTTCAAGCAGGAGGTACTGGCAGTCTTCTTACTATTTCCATAGCTATCTTTAGATAGGCTTTAGCCTGTAAAAACAGAAACATATATTTAGCACCTTTCATTTCTATAAAAAGGAACATTTTACATCTCGTTAGGTTTCTGTTCTTTTGCACACCTTCAAAGAAAACCAAAGATATTTAAATAAATGGGTTCCATTTAGTCTGTTTTCTGGAAAAAATATGCATTAATACATAAAATAAGTGTAAGTATTATTTAAAATATTGGGGGGAGGGAGTTTGTAAAATTTAACTTGGTTAGTATTCTAAGAATAGAACTTGACTGAACAATTTGTCTTTAACAGCAAACAGAGTCAACAGTCTTTTGAAAGCGTTGAGGAGGAATTAGACTCTTTAGTCCCACAGGTATTATTAATTATAAACTTCCCCAACCATGACAACCAACATGCACCAAGCACAGGACAGAGAATCAGAGAAAATAACAACATTCCAAAAAAATTTTTTTGAGACAATTAATTCATTACAGACTAGACTACACTACAGAATTTTCTATTCAGACTTCTAAAATTAAAGTATTTTCAAAAAGAGAAATCTTTCCCAAAAACTGAAGTGGGTTTTGGAAAGAATTCTGCAGCTCTAGAATCCAGACAATTAAATCTCCCTTTCACACCAACCTGTGGTATCTGGTCAGACACCTCAGCTGAAGGGCACAATAGCACAAAACTGCAGGACTATGGAGAGCAAGCCAAGTAATCATACTTATCTTAACATCTCTAAAACCATGACACAGCTAGGACCATGATCAGTCTATCATCAAGTATTAATAAATTTAATATCAAGAGACATATATAAAAACACTGCATAAAATCCCACACAGAACAAATCACAAAATTAAACCACATGATTCCTGTACCAGGCTCAACAACTTGTAGTCAAAATACGTCTTTTAAAAATATCTCAAATCTTGATATAAAGAGTTTTTAACTAAAATAGTATCTGTGTGTGTATATATACATTGTACATTGTTCCAGAAGTTGATTACTCCCACTGTTAAAAATGTATACTTCTTCATAATTTGAATTTGTCATGCTTCAATTTCCAGCTGGTGCATCACGTTCTGTGTCTGTCCAATACAGAGCAAAGTCCCCTACTTCAGTTTGCTCCTACTCTGTTCAGATTGTAACCAACTATAGTGGTTTTCTGTGGCTAGGTTTTGGTAGCGGGGGGCACTAAAAGGGTGGCTTCTGTTCAAAGCTGCTGGAAGCTTCCCCTGTCCTGTGGAGCCAATGCCAGCTGGCTCAGCTGGACTTCCTGCCACTGACCAAGGCCAAGCCAATCAGGAGTGATAGTAACACCTCTGTGATAACATATTTAAGAACAGAATGTGGTTGCACAGAAAGAATTCCACCCAGGGAAGAGTGGAGTGAGGACATGGGAAAAACACAGACACCAAGGTCAGTGCAGAAGGAGGGGCAGGAGGTGCTCCAGGAGCCAGAGCTGCGGCCCTGCAGCCCGTGGTGCAGGCCATGGTGGGGCAGCTGTGCCCCTGCAGCCCATGGAGGGACATTGGGGTGCAGAGACACCCTTGCAGCCCATGGAGACACCCATGTTGGAGCACGTGGATGCATGAAGGAGGCTGATACTCCATGGGAGGCCCAAGGTGGAGCAGGGTCCTGCCAGATACCAGCAGCCCATGGAGAGGAAAACCCACACTGGAGCAGGTTTTTCCCAGCAGGACTTGTGGCCTCGTGGGGGACCCATGCTGGTACAGCTCATTTGTGAAGGACTGCACCCCATGGAGGAGTGACCCACGGGACAGCAGTTTGCGAAGAGCTGCTGCCCAAGGGATGGACTCACGCTGGAAAGGTCCATCAAGGACTGTCTTCCCTGGGAGGGACCCCACGGGAGCAGGGGAAGGACTCCTCTCTCTGAGCAAGAGCAGAAACAATAACTGACCATAACCCCCATTCCCTGCCCCCTGCACTGCTGGGGGTGAGAAGGGAGAACATGGAAGGAAAGAGCAGTGGAGGGAAGGTGTTTTCTCACTCTTTGACTCTTATCCTGTTAGTAATAAATTTAAGTACTATTCCCACTTTGGGTCTGTTTTGCGTGTGAAGGTAATCAGTAAGTGACCTCTCCCAGCTGTTAACTCATGAATCCTTAGCTGTTTTTTCTCTCTCCTTGGTCCAACTGCAGAGGGAGAGTGAGAGCGGCTTTAGTGAGTAACTGGCATCTGGCCAGGGTCAATCCACTACACCAACTTACTTCTCCATCCTCTCAAATAAGTCTGCATACGGAGTCACATTGACCACTCTTCCTGTTTTACTAGAAGAAATCCCCATAATAACCACAACTGCAGTGATCCTTCCTGCCTCCTGCACATAGCTCTAACCATGAATTAGACCTTGTAATCCTGATGAGCCTTTAAAACAGGAAACAAACTGACACACGCCAGAGACCAGAACTTGAGGGGCAGGGAGGGAAGGTTGGTAGCTCCCACTGTCACTGGTCTGAACCAGGTGTCAACCTTTTGCAGGGCCATGCACTACTCACATGTCTCGTCTGTTCTAGGGATTTCTCCTGGCATGTAGGGTTTTCTCAGTACCTCAGTCTCAGTGCTCACATCACCTTAAAACTAAAGCACTGTAATTTTCTGAGTTTGCAAGGAATGCGGACACCAAGACAGAATTGTTTTCTCCCATATTCATGACTTTGTGGCAAAACTGTAGATTGAGCTATAGAACTTAAGTCACAAGCACGAAATTAAAACACCTACAGCTGCAACTATAATGCAGTTAGGTAACACAGCTTGTGTGTGCAACACTCACTTCACTCAAAGGCTCATTCCCTGGGTGGTCCACCTATTCCCCAACTAACAGCTCTCCTAGACCGAGATAATGGACTAACTTGAATTAAGGTGATTGACTGTAGTCAAGCTGCCTTTGCAGTTAAGTGTTTGACTTACTGGTGTAGAAGCACTCCAGGTGGGAAATTTGAACTCTCTTGAACAGTCCCGCAGGCAGCTCCCACTTTGCACAAATCAATTCATGCATCTTAATGAGTCAATTAACAGCCTGCATAGAAAATCTGGCCCCTTCTAGAGACTGCCCACACTGTTTTCCTGCTCCAGAGTTGACAAAACTGTACGCAGAATTATAAATCCACCATAAACTGATTTCATTGCTTCTATATAAATGTTACCCTATGTCAAGATCCCAATAAACTTAGGATTTTTTTCCCCAAAAATGCTGTTAATGAGTGTCTGAGCAACAATTTCCCAGTGTACACTGACTTATTTGCCAAACAGTTAATCTGCCACTTTGCAACAGGAGGTTCGTGGTGCAACTCCTTGTAGCCAGCATGCTAGTGTTACCTAGCCCCAGTCACCAATAATTGGTCTTACCTGCTAAGCATCCCTGTTTTTCGTTGTTTTTCTAGCTCACTACTTTGTCTGTTGAACAGACTAGTATCTCATATATGTCCGTAGAGAATCCTACCACTAACCTGGCTTCGGTAAAAATCAACTGTTTGGAGCCTTAGTTTCCTACCTTGGAACAAATCCTTCAGCTAAGAGTGAGGGCTCAATGTACCTGAAAGGTCTAAATGGAATCTTGGTGACTGTCAATATGCATTACATAAAGACAACCCTGCATGTATTGAATAGTTTCTCCTACTCATGATGTTTTCAATGTGGCATCTGTAGACAGAGTGCACGGTTCAGCTCTTTACTTCATCATCACTAAGTAAAAGAAGTTGAGTTGCAACTGAAAATGGACAGGGTTTATTATTTCCTTTCTGGATGGAAAATCAGAAGAGAAAAAGTAAAGGATGAGTTCTTATTCATCACTCACCATTTTCATTTTAATAGGATAAAAGCAAACTTTACAGGTCAGTTATTTTCTTTATGTTTGAAAGCTCTAAAGGAATGGTTTACAGACTTTCTGAAAAGCATTTTCTTGCTGATGGACAACTTTATATTCAACAATAACACAACGGTTATCATTCTCCCTGCTTCACAAGAATGAAAAAGTGCACAGGAAGACAGTGTCCTAAAACCAGACCAGACTTGTTTATTTTGAACACTGCCTAGACCGGGTCTGAGAGGAACACAGGGAAGGGCAGAAGTAGAAGTGGAAGGTGATGTTCATAGAGTCAAAAGAGCTGGGTAACAGCCATGTGAGAGACTGCTCACCTCTCAGACACTGGTACAAACACTGCCAGAAGTGTACAGTTCTTAGGACCTCCAGGGCACAGTCGATTATGAAGTGACTAATAGCAGTATAGATGGTGGAGTAGGAAATGGAGAACTTGCAATGAAGTTCACCAGAAAACAGACTGAAAAGGCCTACTTAGCCTAAATAATCAGAACATCCTGATTCCTTACTTTGTAATGAATCTGCATTATCATGGAATAATAGACATCAGGTAGATTTAAACTGCAAGGCTATTTATTAGCTCATCTAATTAAGCCCTACAGTAATCTTAGGGAAATATGAGCCTTTCAGTTACGACATTTCATTCTCCCTAAAAATCTTCTCCGTGAGAGAAGCATGCATCACTGCTAAGATTACTGCAAACAGACTGCACAGGTCACAGCTGACTCTGCCCCGTTCTCATGGATTGGATTGGGTTGATTTGGCTTGACCTGCAGGTTTGCCTTCCACTGAAGTGCAGCTCTTAGCCTGAAACCATCTCACTTGAGTGGCTTCCAGTATCTGGTGCAATGGCCACACAAACACAAAACCCAATTTACAATCAACAAATCCAAAACACGTAGGAGCTGATATCACATTTGCCTTCGCCCAAACCACTGCAGACAAACAACTTCAGATCAGCAACTGAGAAAAAGCATACTGATAACATCACACAGTTGCAGGCCTAGTACACCATAGAGTATAAATCCCAGTACTCATATGGTTTCTAACTTCTACTGCAGGACTCCAAGACTATTAAGATGCTTTATCAAGCCATCCAAAGGAGAATCTATGCAAGTCCTGACTGTCTGGAATACCAAATGCTGTGGATGCTACTATACCTGTAGAGAAGGAAAAGGAATTTAAATCTGTTCA